CTCGCTCCCTGGGCTGTTTACTGCAGGAGCTCCGATCCTGTGTGCTCCTGCAGGAAATGACCCCTGGATCCAGGTAGGTAGCCGTGTTGGTTTGAAGCAGCAGAACAACGTTTGAGTCCAGTGGCACCTTTATGACCAACAAAGTTTAATTCTGGGTATAAGCTTTCTTGTGCATGCACCCCTCTTCAGATACTGAAGAAAGATACTGAAGATCTGAAGAAGGGTGCATGTACATGAAAGATTATACCCAGAATTAAACTTTGTTGGTCTTATTTATTTATTTATTTCCTTCAGTTTATATACCGCTTACCCCCTGAGGGCTCTGAGCGGTTTACATATTCCATTAATGCCAATCCTAACCTAGGGCCACATACATACAAGGTGGAGAATGACTAGCCTACCAGGCACCCTGTAGCGAGTCGTTGTTGTCTGTGGGAGCTCGTTCGACAACGTCCTCCTGGCGCTGGTCTTTGATTTTTGCGACTTCCTGGCTGTTGCGACTCCTTCGGGCTTGGACCGAGCGCACATCTGCGCATGCTCGCTGCCGGCCTCTGTCCAGTAGGCTCCGGCCTGCTGCGTCGCCCCGCCTCCGCGCTTTGCCGGCCCAGCCTCCTCTCACTCGCATTGCTTAGCCAGCTGCCACCATGTTTCTCCGCTGCCGCTCACGCCGCCACTACACCGCAAGGGACGGGTGCCCCCCCGCTCTAAGAGCAGGTACCCATTTGTCTATTTGCCCTTAACGGGCTTTCGAGCCGCTGGGTGGGCGGGAGCTGGGACATAGGGCCGAGAGCTCACCCTGGCCGCGGTGGGGCTCGAACAGCCGGAGCTGTTTGGCCAGATGTAAATGCAGGCTTCACTTACCGCCTGCGCCACCGCTCCTGCCTAGACTCACACCTAGACTCACACCTTGTTCCCGCCTAGACTCACACCTTGTTCTGCTGCTTCATACCAACATGGCTACCCACCTGAGTGTATGTAATATGGATACTCATACGTAATGCTGCACCTGAATACAGGGGCTCCATTTCTTAGAAGTTGATGGTGCTGGTTTTATTACATAAACTGACAGCGTTGCCAACAGGTCTGCAGAAAAAAGTACTGTCCCTTTAACAGAGGCCTAAGGTGGGGGAATGGGCAGCTGCAGCTTTTCATGGGATGGAGGTAAATAACCTAAGCTGATAAAGAGCATCCCAACACACCTCTATTAAGGGGGCAGGACATTCCCCCCCTCCCTGGTCGACAACCCATGGCAGTGTGCCTTCCCACAGTTCTCTCTGGTTGTATGCCCTGATTTGAAAGCTTGTTTAAATGATCTAGCAGTACCTTTCACCTGCCTTTACTATTGCCGTGTTTATTAGGTGTCATATACTATCCGAATACCTTGTTTTGTATTATGCGATCCACCTCGAGTGTCAGGCAGAAAAGCGGGCTATCAGTAAAATTAACAAATAAATTTTTATTAAAAAATAAAATTTAAGTCAGCTCCTGTATGTAAACTGTAAGCTTTTCTTCACAACCCTTGTTGGAGTGAATGGGTGCAACACAAAAATTATGGACATAAAGGGTAAATGCACAATTAATACAGCTTTAAGGGCCAAAGAGGAACTGCGCCAATCCAGTATGATACTGTGGTTAGTGTGCTGGGCTAGAACTGGGAGGTGTGGATTTCAGTCCCCCCTCAGACTAGACAATCTGGGCCCAGTCACCCCACAGGGTTGTTGTGACAGTAAGTCAGAGGAGGGGAGAAACATGTATGCCATCCTATGTTCTCTAGAGGAGGGGCAGGGTAAAATGTGATATTTATTTCATCCATGGTACATGAAATTTTACAAAAAATATTAGGTACAGGGGTGCCATTTACACCAGAGGCTTTGTTATTAAACATTTTACCTGATCACTCCAACAAAGAAGATCGCTAATTAATTGTTTTCATAACTACGGCGGCCAGAATACTTTACGCAAAATACTGGAAACTAACGGAGACACCAACAAAATGAGAATTTATAAACAAAATACTGGAGGCGGCGGAAATGGATAAATTGACTTTATTGATAAAAGGTGCAACGGAATCAACATTCCAGAATACTTGGACTCGGTTTTATAACTGGTATGGTAAGCAGATGTAGGTAAATTTTTAGGGACAGAACATTGGTAGATAAAATGAAGAATATACATGTTTTATGTAGTAAGAGATAAAAGGTTACTTATACAGGACACAAGAAATAAGCATTAATGTGGAATAGGCGCTAACATTAACGCTTGATAAAAAGTGGGAAAATATACCCCATGTATGTATGTGTATTGTGTACATGTGTTTGTATTTTATGTTTTTGTGTGTTTAATATATGTTTAAAAAACTTTAATAAAATTCTGCCTCTTTGGGGCAAGGGACGGGTGCCCCCCCCCGCTCTAATATCCATCCATTTTTAACCCACCCTTTTACCAAACAGCTCAGGGCAGAATACATCATTCTCTTCTCAATTTATCCTCACAACAACCCTGCGAGGTAGGTCAGGCTGAGAGGGACTGGCCCAAGGTCACCCAGAAAGCTTCATGCCAGAGTAGGGATTTCAGCCTGGGTCTCCCAGAACCTAGCAGACACTCTGACCACTACACCACACAGCCGCATCCTTGATCTGGAAAAACCACCCCCTCCCATTGCTCCAGTCCCATTGGCAGCCCTCTGTGACTGTATTTCCGAAAAAGAAAGGAGGGCAGGGACTGGGACAGCCAATCATAGACCTGTGTAATTTGACCCTGGCAGAAGGCTGGGACTTTGGCTACAGTCCCTTGGTTAAGCATTTACTCACTGGCAGACCGAGGCTTTGCTGGGATGCCCTGGTGAGAAAGCAGCTCTCAGCTGCTACTGAGTACAAACACACATCTGTGTGAGAATTGCTCATCTTAGTGAAAAATGGACATGATCCTCTTTTTTTCCTAGGGAAGAGGGCACCTCCCCCCCCCAAGGCTAAATAACTCTTTTGAGTGTGATGACTTAGAATACACCCTTATAGCCCCCCATGCACTGAGAGATCCATCAGTCTCCAGCATCCCAGAAGAAGAGGAGATTGGATTTATACCCCGCTGCTCACTCAGAGCACCTTACAATCTCCTTCTCTTTCTCTCCCCACAACAGACACCCTGTGAGGTACGAGGAGCCGTGAGAGCTCTTTTGAGAACTGCTCATGAGAGAACAGCTCTGAAACAACTTGTAAGTGACCCAAGGTTACAGCAGCTGCATGGGGAGGAGTGGGGAATCAAACCTGGCTCTCCCAGATTAGAGTCTGTGCTCCTAACCACTATACCAAAGTGGCATTTGGGTCTCAAGTCAGCAGAACGTACTTCTGAGCAAGCATTCATAGAATGGGGGACATTCATGGCTGTTGTCACCATTTGCCTGAAGCACAGCATGCAAGGATTGTCAGTTGTGGGGTCAGAAGATGAGGCAGATACCTTATTTTGCAGGATGGATTCAAGTGAGTAGCTGTGCTGGTCTGAAGCCACAGAACAATGTTTGAGTCCACTGGCACTTTTATGACCAATAAAGTTTTAATTCTGGGTGTAAGCTTTTGTGTGCAGGCACACTTCTTCAGGCGTGTGAAAACAAGGGAGGGAATTAAGAGGTACCAAGATTACATGCAGGATTACATAGCTACAGCAAACGAAGTAACTTCTTCCTTCAGGTGGGAAGGTCTGTCTCCTCTTCAAGTCTTTTGATTCCTGTGAGGATGGGGGGGGGGGGGAGAGACTGCAGTAAAGCTAGCTTTGGTTGCAAACTGCAGCAAGGACAACATGTTGACAGGGCTCTGATGTTCTCAAAGTCATAAAACCACAGGTGTTTTGGGGGTGTTGTAAAAGATTGGGGGGGGCATTGTTTTGGATTCTGATACATCCTGTTTAATCAGTGAACAGCCTCCCAAAGTTTGGAATGTCACCACCTCCCCTGAAAGAAATCTCCCTTTCAGTAGGTTTCTGCTTTTCCTCACTCATGCAAACAGCTTTCTGTGATTAGCGAACCCCCAAACGGTCCCCTGCTCCTTCCCCCAGAGCCTGCACCCTATTTGGCAACCTTCTGCATGCTCCTTAGAATAAGGGAGACAGTTGGACTTCATTCCAAGTAGACATGTACAGGTTTAAGGTGCATACAGAATGGAGCGTATTCTCAAGTAATGCATACATTGGGGTTTGTGCTTAAAAGTTGGCTGGCTCATGCTTTTTTTTTGGCGGACGGTTGTCCAGAGTCTGTTGGCCAGTCTTCACTTTCAAGGAAATGTCTTTGAGACAGAGGTGCTGTACAGGCACAGCACTTCATTGAGTGAAGGCGCAGGCAGACAGTTACAGTTTAACACCCGACTCCTGTAGAACCCTGGACAGCAAAGGAAGGGTATTTTGCTAACTCAGCCAGTTTCACTCGGGGAAAGAAATCCAGATCAGACTTTTATTCAATACTTTATTAATAATGTTATAAAAAGTTCATAAAAAAGACACAGCAAATGAGCACCTTACAAAAGTGTCCCACGAACCAATTCAAATAATCCCATAAATAAAAACACTCTTCGCAGTTTCCCTTTCCCCCCCCCTGGCAATTCTAGTATCTCGGGTCATCAGACTCGGTTTCCTGGCTCAGATTAACCATTTCAAAACCGGTCGTCACAAAGAAACACTAGAAAGGCCACCCAAGGGCTTTGCTCGGGCGGCAGAAAACCACCCGGACAGGTCAAGAATCTTCTCTCAGACGCTCTCTCACACACACACGCAGGGCAGAGGGCGGATCTCTCGGGGAAACACACTCACACAGACACGTGCGCACCCACATGGACCAGAAACTTCCATTTTTTTTTAACGACAACAACAAAAAAACCGTAAACACTTCTCCCTTCCCCCTCCCCCGACCGAGAGAGAGATTCTTGCACACATTCGCACGACCCAAACAAAAATGCATTTGGAACTGAACGTTAAAGGGGAGGAGTTCGGCAAATCAACATGATTCGAATCTTCTCTGGGCACGTCTTGCATGGCAAACTCAGTCACCCAGGGGGCCTGCGGGGGCGAGAGAGAGAGAGAGAGAGCCTCCCTTCCCCCCCCGGGGTCCCCAACCCCGTGGTCCCGGGCGGCGCCTCCTTACACGTGGACGACCACCGTGCTGGGCCCGTTCTGCAGGCGGCTTTGGTACTGGTCGAGCCAGCGGCGGAGCTCGGCGATCTTGTAGCCCTCGGGCCCGCGCCCGCCCTGGTACATGACCCGCCGCCCCTGGATGATGTAGAGGCGCTCGAAGTAGGCCCCGTAGGCGGCGCTCGACGCGTTGTCCATGGTGTCGACGGCCAGGGGGCAGGCCGGCGCGCCTTCCCGGAGCAGGACGGCGGCCCGGAGGCGGTCCTGCAGGCACTGGTGCTTGGGGATGTCGTAGGCGGCGTCGGAGCTGACCCAGCCGTCGGACGGGTGCGCCTCCTCGATGTAGACCAGCAGGAAGTCGGCGATGTCGACGAAGCGCGCGGCCAGGCGCTGGAAGGCGCGCAGGCGCGCCATGAAGGGCGGTCAGGTGCAGCTGCCGAAGTTGAGGATCAGCGGCCTCTCGCCCCGGGCGTAGTCCAGGATGCGCAGCCGCGTCCGCCCGTCCAGCTGGACGACCTCCGGGTTGGGCGCCGGCGCGCCCACGTGCGCCGCCTTGAAGAAGTCCAGCTTCTGCCCGTGCCACACGGCCTTCAGCGACTCCAGCGTGAACATGCGGTTCGAGTCCGACACGCAGAGCGGCGGGTCGTCGGGAGGGGAGACGCGGGCGGCCGCAGGCGACGCCGCCGCCTTCTCTTCCTCCTCCTGGGCTGCTGCCGCCGCCGCCGCCGCCGCCGACAGCAGCAGCTTCTTCCTAATGCACAGGAAATCCAGGAGCCAGAGCATCACGGCCGTCAGGAGGAAACGGGGCAGGAGCAGCAGGCAGGCGGCCGCCTGGGTCAGCGCCTGCAAGGTGTGGGCGCCGAGGGAGTGTAGCATCGCGGCGGCGGCGAGGAGGAGGGGGCCGGGCGCGCACGCTGGCCGGAGGGGCGCCCTGGCTCCCACTACCACCACCAGCACCACCACTCCTCCGAGAGGCTTAGCCGCTGAGATCCCGCTTCGCCTTGAGCCCATTTTATAGTCGGGGATTTAAATGAAACGGCGACTCCACCTCCGGCCGGGACACGCCCCCTCTGGAACTTGAGCCCGGGGATTACCTACCCCTCGCCACGCCGATGACCTAAAAATACACTGGCGAAGAGAAAATAAAAGGACGGGGAGGGGTGGGTGG